GGAACGTTGGAAGCACTGTCTGACGCGTCTGCCTCCGCGACCCGAAAGGAGAAGCGGCGATGGAATATGAATGAATGAATGAAATAATAAATTGATTATGTTTCTTGAGGAGAAGATTTTTCACGCAACGGTAGTTCGATCGAACATAGTTTATCGCTGTACTGACCTATCTTTTCGTGTGTATTGAGTGTTGTTTAACGGTCGAGACATTTTCAATGAATTTTTGCTCTGTTCAACCAGATTACCGTGGTGTCAAAAACTATGGAATCTGAGAAATGACAACGATATACTGACTTGAGGTACAGGATCGTTATGAATCTTACTTCAGGTTGGACAGTAGTCGCTGCTCTTCAATCCGTCCTGAATTATTTAAAAAGTAATTAAACGATAGCATTTGTTGCAATAAATTATCCTTGAAGTCTAACTTAAAATCAGTGTATTTTTCGCTTCGAAAGAAAGCTTTATTTGGAAGATAATTTGGTAGGATAGGCACTTGCGAGCACTTTTAAAAAATGACGAACTGAAACATATTTTGGACCATTTCCTCAAATAGGCCCAGACGAATTCAGTTTTCGAGTTAGACATGTTTTTAGATTGTTGTTCAAACTTATTCCATCGTAGTCCAATCGGTGGCTTCTTCCGTTCGTCAGTAATCGTCGAATGTATAGCAGCTACAAAGGATGTCTCTGTTTTTATTGACTTTTAACGACCAGCAGATCGGCGGTGATGAGTCCAAAAAATCTTGTACTGGCAAATAAGGCTGACGACAGTTCCAAACCTCGACGCACAGACTCACACCGGCTGTCAACGCTCGAGGGCGAACGGACCGAGCTGAAGCTGCACTCTGTGGAACGAGGAGGAGGCGATCGATTGATCGAAGTCAGCCGAGGAGGCAGCGGCGTTCGGAGAGCAGAAGCGTGCCTCATTCCACTGTGAATCGCGCCATTCCGCTTCCTGTTACCATCGTCTTTGCTGTTCAAGCTCCGGCTGCGAACCGTCCGTTCCGTGTTTCACCCGTCTTAATTACCTTGACCCCTCGCGCCACCGGTCTGATGGATGTCGTTCGTTAATCGGTGGCGATCCTCTCTGCTCAACTATGAGCGCTATCGATTGTGAGTTATTTATTGACAGGTTTTGCATGGTGAGTTGGAAAGAGCTGAGAAAACACCGGGCAAAAGGTGAAAAGGCAACTTTGTTTTCGACCGCCGAAAGTTGTTAAATTTATTCCTGCCAATATGCGTTTTTATACCCCCAAATACTAGGTTTTCGAACTGCAACAGGTGCTCGTTGTATCCGGTCCGGCCGACCTTTGTCTAATATGACTGGCCCGCCGGCCAATTCCATTTGTCAGACATGCGATGAA